TTGGGGGATGAGGAAGGAAGCGGCAGCGCCTGGAGGGAGGCAAGGTGTTGACGTGGCTAGTGCAGGTGTCAGCGTGGCTAGTGCAGGCATTGGTGTGGCTAGCACTGGAGGTGGCGTGGCTAGTGCAAGCATTGACATGGCTAGTGCAGGTGATGGCGTGGCTAGTGCAGGCATTGATGTGGCTAGCACTGAAGGTGGCATGGCTAGTGCTGGCATTAGTGTGGCTAGCACTGGGGGTGGTGTGAATAGTGCAGGCATTGGCATGGCTAGCACTGGGGGTGGCGTGGCTGGTGCAGGCATTGACATGGCTAGTGCAGGTGTTAGCGTGGCTAGTGCAGGCATTGGTGTGGCTACTGCAGGTATTAGCATGGCTAGTGCAGGCATTGGTGTGGCTACTGCAGGTATTAGCATGGCTAGTGCAGGCATTGGTGTGGCTACTGCAGGTATTAGCATGGCTAGTGCAGGCATTGGTGTGGCTACTGCAGGTATTAGCATGGCTAGTGCAGGCATTGGTGTGGCTACTGCAGGTATTAGCATGGCTAGTGCAGGCATTGGTGTGGCTACTGCAGGTATTAGCATGGCTAGTGCAGGCATTGGTGTGGCTACTGCAGGTATTAGCATGGCTAGTGCAGGCATTGGTGTGGCTACTGCAGGTATTAGCATGGCTAGTGCAGGCATTGGTGTGGCTACTGCAGGTATTAGCATGGCTAGTGCAGGCATTGGTGTGGCTACTGCAGGTATTAGCATGGCTAGTGCAGGCATTGGTGTGGCTACTGCAGGTATTAGCATGGCTAGTGCAGGCATTGGTGTGGCTACTGCAGGTATTAGCATGGCTAGTGCAGGCATTGGTGTGGCTAGCACTGGGGGTGGCATGGCTAGCGCTGGCGATGGCATGCCTGGCACAGGCACTGGCACGGCATTGGCACGGCTGGTGCAGGCACCGGCGTGGCTTACGCTGGTGTCAGTATGGCTCACGCAGACATCAGCGTGGCTCGTGCAGATGTCGGTGTGGCTCGTGCAGACGTCGGTGTGGCTAGTGCAGAGCCGTGTGTCCCCAAGCCCGTTCTTACGGCCACCATCCTGCAACCTCATCTCCCTGGGGACACCCTCCCGGTTCCCCGCCACGGGGCCGGCTCTCCAGCCCAGTGCTCCCAGTACGCCGCTGCGCTGAGCCCAGTGCGCCCCCCACCCTCCGCTGTCGAAGCCTCCCCCACTTTTTGGGGTGCCCCCGGCTCCCCCCTGATGGACATTGACCAAAAAGGGACGTTCTGGCCCCAAAAGGCGCTGGAGGCTGCTCCCGGGGGGTGACGGGGGGTCTGGGGGGTGCCATGGGGACGTGACGGGGGGACCCGGTTCCCCGGTGCCCCTCGCCGTGGCTTCAGGGCCCCCGAACCCCC